TTATTGTAGGCAATAGGGCTATATCATATCTGATTTATGTTTCCCGTTTGGATAATGAAATTATTCTTCAATACCAATGACTTTTATATAACATGAGGGTCTTATATGAAACAAGCACCCAAACTGTCATAATTTTTAAAAACGATACTTCTAAGAATATCTCGATTAAGTTTTGAATTATTAAATAATTCCACATAACATACAATGAAATTGTTATCTCATTATGTTTGTTTTTTTTTACACATTTGTTTATTAAAACACATAACACAATCATAAATATATTACTGATATAAGTCTGATAATTTTATGACATGAATACATGTTCCACCATTTTATCTTTAAGTTTGTATATATATATATATATATTTATTTATATACATATCTGCTGGTTCCGCAAATAAAATAAATTAAAAGGAATTATTTATTAAGAAAAAATAATAATATACAGAAAAATTAATAATAATGAAATAAAAAAGGAGAGATAAGGCTTTATATATTTTTTAAAATACCTTCTTCGGAGAGAAAAGATGTAACTTCAATCAAGACTTCTTCCTTATTTCCCAAAGCAGTCGATGAACTTGCTTGTATTCCTTTTTCGTTCAACTTTCTGATGTAAAAGGCGCAACTGTCAAAGATATGGACCAATGTAATTCTCTCTCCACACCTTCGACACATGTCTGTTTTCCTTTAGTATTTAAGAGAGGGCATAATCCTGTCATGTCCTATTCTTAGTCGTGTTAGGACAAGTTCCTCTTATTTGTTATTCCTAGTTCTACTTCTCCTCAATTTATTTATCTATGAGACCCATAAAAGAAGAGGCCAATAACAACGAATGAACTATTTTTACAAATATGTTTGACCCAGGTAATCCTATCCTTATTAAAATAGAATAAAATGAGTGAGGTAAAAAAAAAAAAATAGATCGAAGAATTTTGAATTATGTACAATTCTTAAATATTCCTGCAGAAGTACAGAAGAATCATTGGGATACTAACAATTAGAAATATCTTCATAAATAATTGTCAAGCCATAAAAACAAATCTATTATTGACCACAAATATTTTCAAGTTATATTTTTTTTTCAATTTCTCATCTACCAGAAATACAACAAGTGCACTTGTTACCATGGCAATGAATAAGAAGTCAATGAGGCATCAGGGAGAGTAGTCCTTGAGTTTTTTATTTATAATTAAATGAGTAGATCTCTCACCTAGCTTCTTTTCAGCCTTCTACCATTGGCATAAGTTTGGTAAGCCTCAGGTCAATTAGCGAAGTTGTTTGAAGCCAAATCTTGAATTAATGAATTTCTATGTCCGTTTATTTTGTAGTCTGTTCGTATGCGGTCGTTAATTCTTGGTACGGAAATGTCTATAAGTAAAGGAATGCTGGTGAAGTACCTGAATGCTTTTTTGTATTTTGCTTACCCGTCAAACGTAGATCCGAGTGGACTGAAATAGCAAGTTTAAGTTTAAAATATTGTTAGCATGGGAACTAGTGTTGCTCAACATTGAACTAGACCGCCAAATTGTTGCAAGACCAAGAACAAGACTGCGCTCTGCAAAAGAGATTTTTATTCAAAAAAGTATATTATAATGTAATGGTAACATTTTAAAAAAATGTTATTAAATTTTCGACAAAACTATTTAAAAAAAAAAATATCGTCTAAATCAGACTAGATTTAGAACTTTACAGTGTATTGAATTTTATATATTGATTTTAATAATTGTTCACTTGCACGTTTACATTGCTTTAGTTTATCTAAGAAATCGTGCTCTAATGATTCTTCTGATCGGTTATTAAGAAAATTAGTTTAATTCTATTATGTTATTTTTAAGGAACATATTTAATATTGAAAAAAAAAGTTTAAAATTGGAAGGGAAAGTCACGTGAATCGACACAATTTATTTTTTAATTTTAATAATTGGTGACATCGTATAGATTGTCTTTACTCTACAAATCTTTCTTTCCAAGATGGGAGCATATCACTATCTTTATTGAAATAGTCTTTAAATGTATTGTCCAGTTAATTTTATTAATTTGGTTTGACTTAACTATGTTCATGCCAATATGTACCTATTCTGCATCGTTTTTCTATGATTTTAAGTAACATGTTTAAGTAGACTGAGTGATCAAGACTATGACTTGCATTTGAACAACACTAATGGAAACATTTTGTAAAGAGGTGTTTTTAATATGTATTTTTATACAAAGGATTCACAATATAAATCTTCTATCTACTTCCTTATGTAAACAAAAAAAAAAAATGACAGTTTTGGAATCTTATTAGTCATGCAAAGTTTTTATATATTTAGCAAAATTTTGTAGAGGTGCCAGGCGCGAATTTAATTGATAACTAAATCATTCTGGAATATAAAGGAAAGCACTCTAGATCTTGCAGGCGGTGGGTGTTGTGTTACCGCATCATTGTACTTGCTCGAAATACCGGAGTCTAATCTTGTCGCCAAACAGTCTGCCAAGTCACTGATTTTGTTTGGGTTATTTGAAAACCGATAACACTGGGGTCATTGTATCAACAATAGCGTCTCTTGGAGGCAACAAAACAACTTTGTATATTTTAGTCCTAGTTTGTATCAGGTTCTTCCAATGTTTAAATTAAGGTTTAGTTGAAAAGAAAATTTGTTCCAGAACGTCCCTTTCGTTTTTCTCCCAGAAGCGTACAAAGATGTGAACGAATTTATAAACTATAAAATTCTTCTGTATTTTAGAGAAATACTCCGCTAATAAATATTTTTTTATTCAATGTTTTCTAACTACAAGACTTGATATAGTGGGGTGTCATAGTTCTTAAATTCTGGGAATAAACCTTGTAGGGATCAAATTTGAACAGTATTCAACTACTCTACCATTTTAAGAAATTTATCTTAACATTATAAATCTTATTAGAGGGGCTAAGTAAACTACAAGATAACAATTATACGGAAAACAGTAAAAAGAAATAATAATAGAATAAAAATTGTTTCATTATTTGCACATGCATATTTGATTTATCATTAATAATTTTACTCTAGTTTCATACGCTTCACAAACGTACGGGACTGCCAAAAAGATTCACATACGTAAACCACAGATTTCTTAATAAAAAACTTTCAGGACTATCACCAAGGCTCTTTGATACGTCGATAACATTACTTCACATAAAGACCTACAGATGCCAACAGTTAACGATCACATACGAACATACTGCAAAAGATTTCACAATAACTCAACTCACTGATTCGAGGCATGGCCACAACTAACAGAATATGGATGAAGGATCTCCTCCAATAACTACAAATATTGAAATCAAGACAGGACGCCGCTGGGCACTCCTCTCTCTCACGCCTATTCCAATCATCTACATCTCGACATCACATTCGCTGGTTGTCGGAACTTTTGACAGGTGTGAGTGAACAAATAAAGTTAATAAAAAAAAGTTTCATACTTTTTTTTTTTAATATTCGTACTTTGTTCTATGGTCATAATTTTTTTAGTACTGATAAGTAAAGTCGTATTTGTATCGATACAGGAAATTAAAAAAAAACATACTTAAAAGTTAAGCTACATGAAAAACTGCACTTAGTGATTTTTTGCAATGAACTGACGATCTAAAGGTTGGACTCGATTTGCATATTGGTCGTTTTCATTACACTTTTGAATTTCATTAGAAAAAGTAAAGGTTCGAGATGGAGGAAAAATAAGTTATTATTGGTATGGTTTGCTCTGGGATTGGCGAAAACCACCGGAAGAATTTGTTCCTCATTTTTCACCAGTGAACAAATACACTTTTTTTTTTAATTTTATTTTATTGAGATTTACAACTGTATTACATGGAAAATATAATAAGTAAATTTGACATTGGTAACATGACATGTACAACATGAAGAGAAACTACCCATTGGTAGAACTCAAATTAAAGTTCTATATTAGAAGGTCTGAGGCCATCATCTTCTTTTCAGAGAATTATCAGGAATAGAAGAGGAAGGAAGGTTGGAAACGAGAGGGTTCGGATGGTTCTGAAGTTTATTATGAAAGGACAGGAACCTGGATTGAGCTAAATCGTAAACATATGTTACGTTAAGGTCATTATGGATGATGTTATTTGTGACAAAGTAGGGAGCATTAAGGATTTTGGACTGTTGGGATTGGATACGAGAGGAATTTGATGGTTTAGTAGAGCCCCAAAGCTCAATTCCGTAAGTCCAAATAGGTCTTATTATTGTCATATAAATGAGTCGTTTGTAATTGATTGTGAGCTTAGAGCATTTGTCTAGTAAGTGCTGCAGTAGTCGAAAACGTCGGGCGGTTTCTAGTCGTTTCAGTCTGGTATGGGGGTTCCAAGTGAGTCGTTTGTCAAGGTGGAGTCCTAAGTATCGGATTTATTCGACAGGGATAAAAGGGCTATTGTTGAAGGATAATGTAGGACAGGAAGTCATAGGTTTACGGCGAAGAGTGAAGGTAATATGATGGGATTTATTGGAATTGATTTTAACCCTGCAGGTCTGACACCATTTTTTAAGACTTGTGATGTGTGATTGAGGCGTTAGGGATGCAATAGATGGATCGTTATTAACTGATAGGATACACGTGTCATCGACGTAGGTGGTGATGACAGTGTTGGCAAATACACTTAAAAGTAAATTTCGACAAATCGAGTTTTTTTGTCAATAATTTCGACTTGAGATGAAACAAATCGTATTCTTACGAGGAAATAAATTAGTGAGAATAAAGTATTATTAAGCGTTTCATTTTCTTCGGGAGAATAATAATATTGTGAAAGTCGAATTGAAATTTCAACTATATCTGGAATATTATTGTAAAAACAAAACGAAACTGGATAATTGTCTATCTTATCAATCCGATTGATTTTGTTTCAATAATGCACTAAAATCTTTCCACGAATTTCTAGTTTGTTACGAAGTGATTTTATATTTTATAGATATTACGTCAAAGGACCAAACTCCTACAAATGCCATTGTATTTGCCCTTTGAGTCTATTCCAGGCTTTCACCTCCAGATCCGTTCAACTACGACCATTCTGAGGAAGGCCTCTATAAGCTCTTAAGACCCTCTAGCAGACACTATTCGCAGAATTTGAGAATGAATCGAGCATTTGCTGCCGGGGGAGTGGAAATGTTTTGCAGTTTAATTGTGATTCAGAGCGCTAGCTGTTGAAGAATGTGGAGGAGACCGACAACGGCTGGCACATACCTCGTCCCTAGTTAACACACCTGTACTCCCTTCATAATGACCGATCGTCCTTGCTAATTTGCGTTGCGCTCTCGCTACATCGCAATTAATGGGCGTTTATTGTTTTTAGAAATAAAATTTCCCCGTTACTAATATATAATAATCTTTGACTATTATATAAATGTTATATATGTAATTGCACATTTCGACTACGCCTGGACGGTTGTACTTGATGGCATATTGAAATGAATCACCGACTTTTTTTCGTTCTCCCCTTCCTCGCCTTTTAGGTTATACGGGTTTTTCCCAAACGACCGCGTGTGGGCGGGGGATTAATGCCAGAATTAAAAACTCCCCTCGGCACCGATAAGCGAACTCGGAATTATTTTATCGTTTATAACTTCGGCTATCAGGTCTCCTGGCCACTACGGCTCAATTTTTTTTTAGAACTCCAAAAACTAAACTGTTTTATTGATGCTTTGTAGAGTTCGTGAATATTTTTAGTTAGAATAATATATATTTTTCTCTGTTTTTATTGAATATTTCAATTGAACTAAAAAAAATACCAATTTTGCCTTACTCATCTCACTGTGCGAATCACGAATTACGGACTATTCTCTCAAAAATCTTTCTTCATTACGTGCCCTTTATACCAAACTATCGACTCCCAACACCTTTCCTGCATTTAGAATCTTACTACGTCCTATGTCTTCTACAATTCGAGAAATAAGATCTCGTGTTTCAGACCTCTAAACACCTTCTCACCATTGAATGACCAACCTTCGGGCTGAAGTTCATTAACATAGAAAAATTATTACATTAGGTGATAATAAAAGTGAAAGAAAGAAAGATTTTTCGGAAAAAACTATAATTAAAAAAAATATAATATTTTCACCCAATATTATAATTTTTTGTATATTAGAAAAAACTTATATATCATCTTTTTGAAATTCTCAGACAAATAAATACTACAGTTAAAAAAACAAAAAAAAATATTATACAATTTTTTTTACTTGACACGGTTCGTGTAAATATTATTCTATGTTAAGAATAATACACGTGTTTTATATTAAATTGATCGACTTAAATTTTTTATAGTAAAATCATTCGCGTCTGTTAAAAAAACTCATTTTATCCGTCTCTCAATTTTTTAGCACTAGGAATTATCCCTGTTTTCAGAACAAAAGAAGTTAGAGCCCAGATGGAGCATGGATCAGAATTATAAATGGTATAGATAATATGGATAAAAATATTTTTAAAGATAATACAAATTAATAATTTTAATTATGTAGATGGAATAAAAAAAAAAGAATAAGACAAAACTTTCAAAATAAAAACCAGTTATGTTAAAATAAATAAATAAGTAAATCTAAATAATAGGGAGAACAAATCAAATAGAATAATAAAGAAAATATATCAGAACAACTGATAATTTTTAAGATATTATTAATTTAATTGTAAATACAAATGAAACAAAATAAAGGGTAAGGTTCTCTTGAAAGCTTTATTTTTCTTGAAATTAACATAATTACATGGCTTTGAAAAACTGATTTTTTTTCTTATATTAATTTCCTCAATCACTATTAGTTTATTATGAATTACCAGCGTTCCCAACTATTTTTTAGAATTAAACAGAATTACTGCAATATAACAGAAACTGGATGTCATATCGTATTGAATTAGATTTTTTTTCTCGTGTTTATTGAGTAATAATACCATTTGCTACATTAAAGGAGGATAAGTATTAGAGCCACAAAGGATTATTCATACAATGTTTATATGCAAAAGAAAAACAGATAAATAAAGTAACAGATTTAAGCTGCGTAAAATTAAAAACAATAAAACACAATCATATGTATGTCCAATAATTGAATAAATAAAAAATAACTGGTCTCGTAAAACAATCATTTATAAAAACAGTTTACAATAACGTGTAAATTTTAATCAGTATAAGAAACAAACATACTTAAATTCCCTTTTGAAATTTTGAAGAAACAAAAGAATTTAACAGAATTATGTTAAACTTATCTAATAGATCCAAATTACTTCTCATTATTAAATAATTAATCTCTCTCTCTCTCTCTCTCTCTCTATATATATATATATATATATATATATATATATATATATATATATATATATATATATAAATTCAAGTAAATTAAGAATCTATCTTTCATAAATTATTATTATTATTAATATACACAATAGAACAATAATACAATAAAGTTTTTAAAGCTAAATTTTTTTTTTAAATTTAAACAGTGCTATTATTTAAAAATAATAACGGAACCGTTGAAGATAGGAAAAATTTCAAGCTGAATAACATAAATTTGTAAAAAAAAAAAAATTACAAGGAATTTATTTATTATTCTTATCGATACATTTATTGCTGTATATCTTTTAAATTGGTATTATTAATTCTTTTCAGTTAGCTTTTTAATGGAGGCAGCAACAATTCTTTATATTTCGCAGTTGCTATTTTTTTTTTTTTTTATCACTAAATATAGACACCAACATACGTATATTTAACTTAATTTTATTAATTTTCAAATTTTCGTACCTTAAATAATTAAATGTTAATTAATTCTTGCACTAGATTAATAAATATCGCGTAAAAATGTCACGGAGGTCAAATGCGACGTATAGGCCGCAGATTAATCACCAATGTGCTCTAGGCCACTGGAGTAGGTATGTTTTTGTGAAAAAAGTGCGATTTTAAAGTGTTTTTTTATTTCAGATATTAATAATATGTGTTTTTATAATTTATTTAGGGTTAAGAATCGAATATTTATAATAATTATGTGTATAATAATAATAATTATTATGAGAATGAGTTCCCTTGACTGTGCCGTATCCTATAGCAGGTGACCCGCACGACTTAGCTACCTACCTGCAAGTGTATAACCCAAACAACAACGGGGAGCTTTCTGTCCAGTCAAAACCATTCATTTTTTTTTTTTTTCTAATAATAAAGAAATTTCATAAAGTTTTAGTGTAAGTTGTCAATTAATTGACGCGCCCTGAAAATCATAGATAACTTAACCGAAGTTAATTAATTATTTTAAACCAAGTTTTACGATGGGCGTGATCGAATGTGTTTTTTAAAATTATGCAGTTCTTTCTCTTTTAATTGTTAAATAAAACTGTCATTACAATTATTCATTATTAGCGTACTATCACTTATTGGTGCATCCAAATATCGCTTCATAGTTTCTCTTATTGTGTGTTTAAGTACTAATATTTAACAAATGCTCTTAGGTTTATTATTTTCATAAAATATTTTTAAATGTCATTTCATGAAAATTCAACTTTAAAAGAAAAAACACGTTTACAATATTTATTACACTATTATTTTATTATATGAACTAATATCCATTCAATTTAATTCATTGAGATGATATTGATGTGGAAGGTATCTTCATAACATATAATCTAAAATATTTAATTCGACTACACTATTTCATAACTGGCTGCTCAATAAAATAAATGTTTAAGTAATTTTATTTGCGATTACAATATAATTCTTAATGTATATTATATTTTTATAATTTAATATATTTGTGTGCCTTAAAAAGATTGTATATGCAAAGATTATCTTAATAATTTTATACATACGTTTTATGACATATCTGATATTTAATGTTAAGAATCAATAATTTTGAAGTCCATACCAGACTCAAAATACAAAAACATAATTTATTTTTAAATATATACATTTATTTGTACAGGAATTCTCTTTAACAAATAAAATATACAATATTTTAATTGAAATAATATTTATTTTATTTAGTAAAAGAATAATTTAATATATTTTCAATTTAAATCAATTTGAATATATATTTATATTATCAAATGTCAGTTAATCTTTCGATAATATTCAGTATTAAAACAAGAAAAAATGTAACATATTTTTCTACAGTAATTGATCAAGTTTATAAATACATTTAAGTCAGTTATTACAACAGATATTTCTGAGTGTCAAACCATAAAAAGTAAAGCTAAGAAGAAATAAAATTTTAAAATAAATTAGTTTATACATAAATACCTAGTTCTGCCATAAATATTGTTACAAAAGTTGAACTTTGTTTACATTCTTGGGTATTATTTAAATAATCCTTACCTATATCAGGTTATTTTCTTTACATGTCAGGATAATAATCCTAATTAGTTTGTATCTTCTTTCGCCCAGTTAACATGAAGTGGGATGATAAAGAAAACCGAATAGCTTTCCCAAAGTTGGAAAATGTAGGTCAGAGATTTTCAACACTGAAATCTTTGGGTATCAGCTGATATTTTGGAACATGGTGTTAAGCCTCTAAATGATACTCTGTTTTTTGGAAGTCATTGGGCTTTCCAGCAGAATTCCGCTCTAGCTCACAAAGCCAAGTCAACTCAGCAGTGGCTGAGAAGAAAAGAACAATCCAGAGTTCATTTCAGCCTCGGATTGGCCCTCAGGAAGTCCTGATCTCACCCCACTAGGCTTTGGTCTGAACTGGAGAAAATAGCATGCCACAGAGCACACCTTGACTTGGAGAGCCTCAAACATTCTCTGGTCCGAACAGTTGAGCGTTTTTCTTAAGAAGATGACTGGCCACGGAGATTAAATGCTTGTGTCAAGGCAAAAGGGAGACATTTTGATTTTTTTTTTTTCCTCTCTCTATATATACATTTTATTTTCTAATAAAGTTTTAAAAAAAAAGTTTCTCTGTTGAAATCTGTATATATTTCCTTGTAAAAACATTTATGACAGGACTAGGTTTTGAGCTAATGTAAAGTTTAATTAACATACCCATTTTATAAACGGTTTTGTTTATTTCTTCTAACATATATTGTAATGACTCAAAGTATTCCTGCACCATCTATTTCAGTAAATTGTTCATTATTGTAAACAAAATTAATGATTTTTTTTTTTTATATTTCAGAATGCCAATTCGGAAAAAGTATAAGAGAACTGGGCACAACATGGTTTGCCGACCTAGGACCGCCATTTGGTATCATGTATTGCATTAAATGCGAATGCGTTCCTGTAAGTATTACATTTTTTTGTAATATTTTTTATCAAATTGCTTATAGCATGGTCAGAGTAGTCTAGATGCAAAAGCAAGATTATTCAATTTAATGAGTTTGTTTTTTTTTAACTACTTTTAAAGTTTCAAAACTACTTAAAATTAAGTATGACCTCTAAAAATATAATTAAATACATTCAGAAGTGATTATAATAATAAGAGTAATATTTTATTTATTCTGGGACGAGACACTTTAGAATAATAGGCAAAGGCACAAATGTCGGCTTTGGAGCCTCAGAGATACATAAGAGTTATTATTTATTATTATATATACAGAGATGTATATCGTCATTTTTTTTCAAAAAGTCATAAGGTGACATTTCATAGCCACAAACTACTAAGAACTTTGACGAGTTTCCCTTTTGTATAACCAAAAAAATGTACGCTTGCTATAACTATATTTGATATTTAAAAAGTTTGTGTCCTTTTAGTGCACCTTCTAGGGTGTTACCAGTTATGGACAAGGGGCCAAGTTATGGACAGATCGGACTTTAAATATAAATATTAAGCTTCCTTGTTGATTTAGAAGTTACAGTTTTTCTAGATTGCAGAACAATACCCATTATTGACAACTGTATGAAGAAAGTTCCCAAAAGAATATTTTAAAATGCCTATCTTTGTCGTTTCAAACACTCGTGTGTTCCATACTTCCCTAATAACATTTTTCCTAAGAATAAGTTGAACATTTATCTTATCTTATCATTAATGTTATCTTTATAGTTAAATAAAGATTACAGAATTTTCCTGAGGTACGTCCGTTACTGGTACCGACCATTCATGTCCATTACTAGAACAGTTAAATTTCGATGTGTCTATCACTATTGCAAAAAGGTGTTTTTTTTAAATGGAGATTATATCTGCATAACTGAATATTTTTTTAAATTTTAAAGCGTTAAATAGAAAATGGATGAAATAGAAATAGAGAAGAATTAGTTCGGGCAATTCGGGATGGGACGTTTGCCTTTTCATTGCCTTGTATACCACAATGAGACTATAAATAATAAATATAATGAAAACTCGCAGATTCTCTTAAAGCAGATTTTAGCCGAAATGAATACACTTCGCTTGACTTTTGGACGTTCCATTTGAAAATAAATAAGATCAACTTGTATCCTTTCCAAACTAATGTCTTAAGTATTTAGTTGAAACAGATGTCTTGTTTCCGCTAACACATGTCTCCTATCTTTTGGGTCTGTTAGTATTTCAACTTAGATTATTTTCAAATGTAACGGTTAACATTCTATCAACAACTATTTGTGATTTTTTTTTTTCATGAGATTCGCAGTAGACCTCTAAGTTCTTAAATAGAAAATGGAAGAAAAAAAAAATTCTAATAAAGTCCCCTGATTTTCTGTTAAGAGCAAATTTATTCTATTAAAACAGGGTTTCGGAACCATTTCGATTGATTCGCTGTAATCCATACCTCCGATTTTTAAATAACAATTTGAAACATTATTTTTAAATTTGAACTGTAAACTTCTTTGTAATAAAGTTCTCTTAAATATAAAGTCCATAAATAATAAAATTTTAATTTTAATCATCACATACATGAAATTCTTTCAAACCACATTTAAATCCCACCTTGCCTAGAAAAATAAAAAATATAGAAAACATATTAAAACATAATTAAAAAGTGGTTGGAGTTAAGCAAAAAATAAAAGATCTAATAATTGTGTATTGATGGTTGACTGTACTGAATAATTGAAGAGAAGAATGATTGGGGTTGAAAAATAAAAATAAATAAATAAATTTATTAAATTAATAATTAATTAAATTAAATTTATTAAATTAAATTAATTAAAAATAAAAATAAATTAATTAATAAATTTTTATTTTTATTTTTTACTGATCACTCCAACCATTCTTCTTTTCAAAAGAACTAATAAAAAAACGAACAGCAGTGACTTTGAGTTATTATTTGTTTATGGCTATTTTATTTTGAAGTTTTAGAACAATAATCATACTGCACGGAGTCGCTGCCATTTAATTTTGATTGTTCACTTTTTGATCAAAATTCAAGCTATGTAAATAGTTGATACCTTACACAATGAATTTTTTGCTGATATGTCAATATTAAAAGTAAAGTAATATGTAATAAAATCTTTAAGATGCGACTCATTTCTTGAACATAACGTTATACTATTTCTGAATTACAAATTAAATAGTAAATATTTCGTGGGAGAACAAAAATTGTTATTGCTTAGGATAAATTCAATTGAATTTTGAAATATTTTATAATATCATTTTTGGTTTTATTAATTGAATGTTAACACATTCTGCCACATTGAAGGGCATTAATACTAGGCCTACATTAAGCATTCACACAATATGCACTAAAATAACTAAAATATAGATAATAAGGAAAAGGCTTTTTTTTTTATTATTGAAATTTACAACTGTTTTAAATGATAAATACAACAAGTAAATACGAAACAAGTAACATGACATGTACAACATGAAGAGAAACTACATATTGTTAGCAATCCAATCATGTTTCTATATTAAAAGATCAAGAGGCAATCTTCTTTTCAGACGCCTCGGAGGGTTATCAGGAATAGAAGAGGAAGCAAGAGAGTTCGGGTAGTTCAGAAGTTTATTATGGAAGGATAGGTATCTGGATTGAGCTAAATCGGAAACATATGGTACATTAAGGTCGTTATGGAAGGTTTTATTTGTGACTAAGTAAGGATTTTGGATTGTAGGGTTGGATACGAGATGGATCGATCCCGTAAGTCCTGATAGACTTTATTATTTTGTAAATAATTGGAAGTTTAAAGCATTTATCTAGTAAGTGCTTCAGTAGTCGAAAACGTCGAGCGGTTTCTAGTCGTTTCAGTCTGGTATAGGGATAAAAAAAAAAAAAAAAAAAAAAAAAAAAAGTGGAAATACGGAAAATAAAACAAGAAAATGAACACTCATATGTACAAAAAATGAAATAACAGAAAAAAGCTAAATGAAATTAAAATAAATAAAACAGATTCACACCTATATATAATATTTGTAACATTATTAAAATTCATATATAAATAAAACATTGATAAATCCGATAATAACTTGTTTATTTTATCTTTAAGTAATTTCCATTATGAAATAATAAATTAGGAAATTTAAATTTTAATTTGAACCGAGAGATGTACACTGCATTTCGCAACTTTCTGCTCCAGAGGGAAGCTAAAATAGTCCGGGTCTTTGGCCGTGTCTAAATATATTCCTGTCCTGAGCCACTCTTTTTCTATATCAATAATCGGAACTTTATTTACCACTTATTCGAAAGCCAACCAAGGCAAGCAGCTATTTTCGTGCATGTGACCGGGTTTTTATTTTGAAATGGAGTTTTTAGTTCAGCTTTTCGCCAGAACTGGTTTATAGCATGACTTATACAGGAGGAACATTTGGTAATTGTAAAATAATAATTTTTATATGAGCTTCGACTGTAAGGCTTTTCAATCTTCGAAATCCTTCTTGAAGGATCTTAATTTTTATATGAAAAATGCAATAAATTTGCCAACCTTACAGTTATTACAAACTACAAGGTTTATTCGTATTATACTATTTAAAAAAAAAAAAAATAATGTCGAAAAGAACTAGAATATTAGCTTTGCTCGATGAAAGTTATTTGTTATATGTTACTTGCTACTTGTATATAAGTTATAAGTATGTATATAAGTTTATAAGTTGCTTGCTATATGAAAGATTAAATATAAAAATATTAATGTTTACTACTCGATTTTCAAACATAGTTTACTCGTATATATCGAAAAATAAATCTAGTGTGTCCACTCACATGACTTTCCTACCTATTTCAGAAAAGTTTTTATATCTTTATATATGTCGAACAAGAAACAAAAAAAAAATTGAATTAGATTTATTTTCCTGAAAATTGATTAAAAAAAAAATTTGAGTACGATTTATTCGATAAACTAAAGCAATGTAAACCGGCTTAAGATAGATCAGTGTAAAAATTTCAATACTTTCTAGTATTGCTGATAACAAATTTTGCCAGAGCCTAATTTTGTCAAACAATAATTTCTGTTAAAAGTAGATGAAATATTGAAGCTTGTGTGATGCGGGCAACAGATTTTATTACTTTAACTTAGTTATCTTTTTTCTCTCATTCACCCCTTTCTGACACCAGTAAATGAACCCGTAATCATACATTGGAAATTTAATAGCTGTAACTTCGTTATTAATTGTCCGAAATAAACAATATTTATACAGTTTTGTAGGGAATTTCATTAACTTTCATTAATAAGCGGTATCATAACTAATACTGGTTCTATTCCGATGATTTTTTTTGCTTTCTTGGGAATTTAATTAACTTTCAAAAGTTTTATTATAAATTTTACCATAGAATATGTACTTAGCGGGTTAGGCTCCAAAACATTAATATACTATTGCACATGGAGCATCCAATTTGTGTCACAGGCATCTATAGTCAAAACCCTACAAAATGTAAAAAGAAGCAACAAAATCGGTTCGCTTGTTCCCGAGAAAATCATGGCACAGTCAGACCAACGGCTAGAATGTGTTTTCCGAACTTAGGAAGCTCTAAAACGTATAGATCCGTCAAAAACCGCATAATGGAAATTTGACCCGATTGCGATACTTTCCTTACCTAGTATAGGTAGGAAAGTAAAAAAGAAGTGAAAACAGAATGCACTTGGGTCATATTTTTTATATGTTTTAAGATTCTATAAAATTAACTTTGTAAATTTTATTTTCAAGTAAGTTTTGTTATTAAGTGTACAACTGTATGTATGTAAAGTGAAATACTGTGTATGTAACATAATAATGCCACTATTAAATGTAGTAAAATCATATGACTAGACAACTATCCTGTCATTCAAATAAGAGTTCAACATTAGATATCTATATAATATCTCTAAGTTATGTCTTGAAATTTATTTTACTCATCCATATTAGAAACCGTTCTGCAAGGCTTTTTATATGAGATTTAAGT